GTCTGAGACACTTGAGAGGTCGTATATAGACCCTAGAAATGATAGCGCATGGGGGATTTACGGGACCTGGAATAAACCCTAAACAGTCGTGCCGGTATGATGTGGGCCGTTTTGCAAGGCACCCCTAAATATGAGAACACTCCAAGATATCCAATAAACTCCATCAGGGCTTGCGAGGTCTTGTATGGATCCTGAGTTGTACACCATTGTGATACCCCTTAACCCAGCCAACAGCATGAGCTGGTGGTAAATTTTGCTGTCAGCCCTCTCGAGGGGAGTCTTCTGGACGCAACACACATAATACCCAAGCTGCGACTGTTCCACCCTGACTGGAGAGCTTTACGGGGGTTCGTTGGATTTTGGCATCTCCCCAGCGGTGAGCACCCGAACTGCAGGATAGCTGCCTAAAGCGAGAGCTATACGTCACGACTCCAAGACCTCTCTGGCAGGGCCCATTAAAAAAACAATGACCGCAGCTCTGAACACGAATCAAATGAGTCGTGCCTGAAATTAGGTCTGCGTTTGGAGGACCTGAGATGCCGGTCCTCTCCTCAACAAAATCCACGACTAGTCCAGCCCTCGACTGCGTATACCCTGCTGAGTACTCCGGAGGTGTTGCAGCTGACTTTGGGGGACCATTCCGTCGTAAACTCTTACAAAAGCCAAACCGCTACTTGATCTTTCCAAAACCTACAATTTTGTTACGATCGCAAATTCCAAACGACCCAGATGGGGTCTAGGGTGTGGACTTTCAATTCAACCATTTCCAGGGTAGGGTTGGCAAGAGTGAAGTCCCTTAACCCTCAAAGCTTGATTCGTGCAGAAGTCGAATTGGGTGGGCCTGGACCCCCGGTGGAGAAGCTGCCACCACCGCCCAGGAACATCTGAAGCACCTGCATGTGAGAGGGTTCGCAGCAACACGGTCGATGAGATCATGACAGCCGACCAAAAGCTAGGACGAGTATGTATGGCCCTTTGAGACGTTCAAGCTGCATGCCAGGCGACCGTGGCAGCTGCCAGCCACTTCCCGTTCCACCCGCCGGGCACCTGCGTGCCGACAGCGCTTGCGGAGTTCCGGCACGCTAAATCTACTTTCTCTACTACCGGCGGCGCTTCCAATCGCCTCCCAGCCGAAGATGAGATGGCAAAGCGGGTTCGGCCTCGCTTTCTTAGCCCGATGAGGTGGTGGTAGGTGGCAGTAGTGGTCTTTTACGTCTCCGTTCGACTTGGAGGAAGTTCAGCTGAGAACTGAACTTCTTAACGCCATGAAAACTATTCATGATGTTGTTGTTCTGTCTTCTTACCAGTCGGATCAGGACATGACAGTATTGGTATCAATAGTAATCATACTAATAGTTGGCTGAGTTGGCCTTCCCGGTGATCGGCCACAAAATCCTTTAGTCTCCGCAGTACGTACTTGCCAAAGGCTAGATCTCGGCAAACTGCATGGCAACGTCATGCCAAACGCCACGGCAGGGACTAAGAATCTGAACCTTGACACCCACGCAGGAGCCTCAAGCCTAGGGCTCAGGATTCAGGGCCCGGGGCCTGGAACCCCCATCCCCAGAAAACTCAAAATCTCAAACCGCAAACTCCGTGCTGGGTCTCTGGACCGGCTCATCCGCAAATCCCCACCGGTATACTTCGCAGGCGCCATGTCTGCACCTTGAGGTCTGAAGTTCCACACCCAGTATACCCTCAGCCGCCTCCTGTGGCCCTGAACTGAAGAACAGAGCGATTTCTGACTGCGCATTCATTTCTGGGACATCGGTGTTTGCCCAGAAAAAGTTTGACCTCCAGGATGCAGACTTTTTCGGTCTCAGGGCTTGGGATGAGCTTGCAGAGACTAACTGATCCTCTGGACCCGAAAAAAGCCTGGCTCAAGACGTCCAACAGCCCTAAGCCCCAAACTGTAAACTGTAAATAAGCCTGAAGCTCCAACCATTCCGAAAAGCCGTAAACCCACAAAACTCTCAATCTAAGTCTCCCAAATGCCACTACCTGTAGTTCCTTCAGGTCCGAAGGCGGCACAGCTCGCGCCCCTGAAGCGGCTGAGCTCCACGGCGCGGCGACGAGCCCTCGGCCGCCGGCGCTGCGGAAAAGCTTGCACCTGGCAGTTCAGGCGGTTACAGTGTGTTGTCTTGTCATTTCTTATACAACGGTATGCAACTATAGCCCTGTATAGCAAAGTATAAATCGTAGAGTAGAGTAGAGTGGAGTAGAGTGGAGTAGAGTGTCGTATACTGTAGTAGCTTTCGAAAATTGTCTATTACAGTACATTGAAGGGCCTTGGCTGAGGATGTACTGCTGGTGCTTTGGTGCTTCATGTTTCTAGGGTCGGGCTTGAGGGTTTATGGTGTGAGGCTTAGTACATACCTTGTAGCTTGTTAAATGGCCATGGCAGCGCTGGGGTCTAGGGGTCTCTAAGGATTTATTGTTCAATCGCCGTTCGGGGTTGAATCGTAGCATCCACGGGCCCAAACTCTATACTCAACTACACTAGACTACAAAAGGCTGGGCAAGACTAGGCTAGACTACACTACTGACTAATACGCCATTGCGTGTTACAAAATCATATGAGATACTCTGCGGCTGTATATTATAATACGATATAGCGTAATGTAATGTACCCGGGCCCTGGACTTGTGCTGATTTTTGTTTCCTACATCCCGGGCTGCCCAAGCGTCGTACACCGAAATTGCCCGACCCCCGAACCCAAACCCCATGCTAGCGGGCAATAGCACCAGAATATGTAGCTTAATATGCTATGCAACAATAAAGCATAGATACTGTAGTATACTACACTACCAAAAGGTATAGTATAGTCAGTATGGCTAATAAGGCTAATATATACTATACGATAGTCTACAGTATACTATCTTAAAGAAAAGTCTGTTAGAGTAGCACCAGCATCCACTAGGGCCCAGAGTTCGGGATCAGGCTGTTGGCTCTCCACAGCTCGAAATCAACCCCCCCCCCCCGCATGTATTGTCAGCGTTGTGCACTAGAAACACATAAAGCATATATCTTGTAAGAATCTTGTAGCAGTCTACTATACTACAAAGTATAGCATAGTAAACCACGCTATACTATCGCAAACAGTCAGCTCCAAGCCCGAGCCCCAAACGATCAAAATCGGAAACCACAAAAAAGAACATGGCTCGAAGGTCAGACTACTGGGCAAAAGCTTGCTGAGCCACGTTTCGGAGTATGGCTTGAAGTTGAGGATTTAGGGTTAAGGGATGTGGTTTTGACGTAGGGTTTAGGGTCTACTTCGTCCCTGCCCTTTGCCAAAATTGCCTTGCTCGGCAAAGCTGCGAGCTGTCCACTTGCAGAGCTCATCGAAAGCAACGTTTACCCCGACCTCGTTGTGATCATCTTCTACGACCACACTTTGAGTCCTTCAAATCGGGGTGTATGATGGGGTCTTAGTGCTGTATGGGAGATTCGTGGTGTATTATAACGTGAACAGGTTCGTAGATAAGGACTATAAGGGCGTCCTGTAGTGGGCCTGAGGGTTCCGGCATTAAGCCATTAAGCATAACGCTCGATCCTTACATCCGGGCTTGTCGAATACCTCACACTCGAGACCCCCAGCCCGACACTTCAGGATTCGTGGAGGAGTCCGAAACCCGCATAAGCCAAATTGGACTCAGCGCCTTCAGTCCCGAACCCGCTCAACGACCCAGAGCGCCCCAACTGAGCGACCCGCAACCGTGAGCTTGTCTGGCGTGCACTCCCTGCTTTGTAGCTTCGGTTCAAAACAAAAACGGGACAGGTTCATGCTGAAGCTTGTTTCGGGGCGTGCATGTCATGTCTGAGGCCAGCGTAACGGCATGACCCGGAATTGCTTACGAAGTAAGAAACCCTGAGCCCCCGAACAGTAGACTCCGAATCCTGAAGTTCGGATGTCGGAAGGAGACAACATCGCCTGCTCTCGCGCGCCATGAAACATTTTCACGTGCAAAGTGTCCGCGCAGACTGTGCGCCAGTGTGATTGCGAGCACGTCGCTGAAGAACCAAAAACTGACCTTGCCTGGCGATGAACTCGCGGATGCTTTCCGCAGAGCACTTCGGCAAGTCCTGCAGTCGGCTGGGCGAGCTTCGGTGAACTCAGCAGATACGGCGGCCCTCTCCAGCTGCGCCTCAACCCTAGTACCCTCATCTCTATAAATCATAAACCCTACCCTACACCCTAAAGCCTGCACAACCTTTTTCTTATGGAGCATCACCCTAGCCCTAGCCACCTGGAGTCGGCAAACTCTTCGAGTTTGCTTAAGCGAGCCTTGGATGGCGCCAGTCCGAAGCGTTCAGGGGTAGCTGGGTAGCTGTGAGTAGAGTGGAGTTGGGGGTTATAAGTAGCAAAGCTACGGTTGCCCTACATTTAACCCGACTTCCTAAGTCCAGCGGGCCTCTAAGCACTGCGAATCTAAAGAGGCCCTTCAGCGCTCCCTCAGCGCCGCTCTGTCTCCTGGTGCCCTCCGGCGAATAACTAGCTAATTCAGAACTCACATCCGGGTGCCGGGAATAGCTTGCAGCTGCACATGTCACGTACAAAGAGGTTCTTTGCCCGGAGGTGCGTTCCATCTGACTCAGCAGGGTCCCTTGGAGACCCCCCGAGCTGCCTAAGATCCTGCTGAACGAACAGGAGTTGATAGCATGTTGAACTACTGTTTGGGGTTTGAGTGCTGAGAACTGCTGCAAGTCCAGGACTTCGGATTTCGGGCCTGGAGGCTTTGTATTCAGGGCAGTGGTCGCCAGGAACAAGACAGAGCTCCGACGATAAAAGGAAGGCTTTGGAGTGGGCTAAGGGAAGACTCCTGCTAAATTCAGGGGGTATCCCTCCAAGCTACTGGTTTACAGAGAGACCAGTAGGATTCTGCAGTTCGTGTTGCGAGTTACTCTGCTCAGAGTTTAGGGTTTGGGGCTCTGGGTTGTGGGATGGTTCTGGGGATCAGAAGCCATATATTTCCGGAAAAGATGGGATGTCGCTCCCTTCACTAGACGTCTTCCGGCTCTCCATCCGGCCGGAGATGAGGTGCCTGGGCAAACCACCGAATCAGACAGCACACCCAACAACGTAGTTCAGGCTTCTTTAGCGCCCAAAAATTTGGGCTTAGGGCGTAGGGTTTGTTGTGCAACAGGGCCCGCACCAACGGGACCGGCATGAACAAAAACTGTGATGAACAAACCTCGAGGCAACCCTGCGGGAGCTTGGTATCCTGCCACACAAGACCCCGAAGTGTTTAAAGTGCGGCATAGCCTAGCAGTTTAGCATCTTCGCACTCTTCCTCGTTGTAAGCTTCGGTTGCCACCTTGCCCTCAGATCGCAAGCGGAAACTCCTCAATCCCGCCGCCCCAAAGCCCCAGAGGACTTGAGGACTAGCAAAGGCATCACAATGTTCAATAACACTAGCAATAATCCTCCTCATGGCCATCATGTTAACCATACCACTCATCAAGAACGCTGTTGCTTGTACTAGATTTCTGTTCAAAGGATGGACTATTCTTCGTTCCATTCGGGAACCCAACAAAGAAAATTGCAATGTTTTAGGCCCCGTGTTACCGAGGACCCCTTGCTACTGAGAACCTCCAGCCGAGGCCAAGAAGCGGAGGTCGCCCTTTTCACCGAAGAGCGGCTGGTGAAGCCCGGAAACCTTGGTTTCGATTTTTTCAAGGGTTAGGGTGGAGGAGCTAGGGTTGGACTCGGGGCAGCGAATTTTTGGTTTGTTTCGGCTTCCTTCTCGCCTTCTCCGAAAGGTTTGGGTTTCGGAGGTTGGGCTTTGAGCCGAGACTTGTCCTTTTCGCAACTTGTTAGGAGAAAAGCCCTTCACATCAAGATAGAGAGCCTGGAGACTTTGTAGTTTTCGTTCGAGTCATCTGTGAAAGCCCCACGCCCGACATTCAAAAACTCCAGCTTTCATGCCTCAATCCCGAACCTTAAACCCAACTAAGCCCCGAATGCCCGGAACTGTCAAGCCCAGGACAGAGACTCGGTGTATCGAAGTGTTATCACCCCTGTTGTCCTGCCAAGCCAAGAAGCGACGTGCGCTTGAAGCTGAAGGTGACCTGCCACCAGGGAAGGAGAGAGAGAGAGAGAGAGAGAGAGAGAGCGCACGAGAGAGAGAGAGCGAGAGAGTGAGAGAGAGTCATAAGGTACGAGGGTAGGCGTGTGGCAACAAAGTGGGCCTTCTGAAGATCTAAGGCTTCCCGAAGCCTAAACTCCGGTGCCCGCAGCCCTTGAAAGAAGCATGGAAGCGGAGCCCCGGTGCCACCTGAGCACGAGAACTTTGAGGCTGCAGCTCTATATATAAACGGGGTTGGGATAAAGACATTGGCCCGAGATCCATCACCGAAGCGCCTGATCCTTCGGCCGTCGCAAGGAGCCGTGCACACGAGACGCAAGCGGTGACGGGACGTTGTACCTGATGGAAGGTGCGATTTGGATCCCAGCTCGGTTCCGGATTTCGGGGGAGAGCTTCACGTCCAGCAACCGCAAAACGCATCCCATGCACCGGAAGCTCAGCAAACCGAGAGCTGCCCCGACGAGAACCGTCTTTGCTACGGGGCGGCGCTGCTTCCGAGTTTGACATTCGGGCACCGGCCCGACTGCTGCTTGAAGGCAAGGCCGAGGTCGGTTCGCTCACGGCAGATCTGAGGCTGAGGCTGTGCCCCCCTCTCTGCCCAAATAGCTCGCTAGCTCTATGCCTATTCTGCATGTCCGTGCATGTCTATGTATGCCTGTGTCTCTCTCTATCTATCCAGTCTCCTTGGTATATTTGCGTCTACGAAGAATCGTGCTTGATTAGTGGAAGTAGGTTTCTTGGTGATTCGGGCTCGGGCGGATGGGGGAGTTGACCCTCTGAACCCTTCCGTGCTTCGCATCTCCAGGGCCGAGGCCAAGACCGCAAAAAACCGTGCACCCCCAAACCCCTCTTGACACCCCGTAAACTCTGTAAACCGTCCACGCAAGCAAACTCTGAACCGCCCTTCCAACAAGAAACGAGAAAAGAAGGATCCCAAATCCGAAGGCCCCTCCGAGGCAGGAACGGAATCGCTCAGCGTCGGCTCGCCGAGCTCCGCGGCGACCGCAAGGCCTCATGAATCTTCACGCTGCTCACTTTACTCTCACAGCGATCGTCGGGCTCCAAATCCTCTTGCGCGTGCATCGTGAACGCAAAGCTCACCACCAGCGTGGAAGCATGCGTGGGGACTGGGCCTTAAAGCTTTGTGGCTTTACGCAGGCTCTTGTTTTCAGGATCCAGAGTCTCTCAGAGGTGATGGGTGTCATCTGTGGGACGTGGGCAAGCTCAGGGATGGATCTGGGCAAGGACCGGCTTTGGAGCTCCGCCCGTGGCGATTTGGGGCTTTAGGGTCTGAGGGTTTACTGTCGGGTGATCAAGATGGTGGGTTGGCATTGGATGGTTCGGCAATGAGAGCACGGTTGCTTCTTTGCCTGACTCGGCCCGGGGGTGGGCCCGTGCTTACAAATGCCATGCTTGGGTTTTGTGGACGCATGAGTTCAGCCCAGTCACAGCAGCATCGGCGTTTGTGGATTGATCCGCTATTTCGGGAAACAGGCTTCCGTGTCTCCTGCGAATCTGTACGAAGAATTCCGACACGGCCCAAACAAATGCCGCAAAGCTCTGCCCACACCCAGAGAGGAACCTTCCAGCCAGGGTCCTACAAGAAAATCAGCAATTCAGCCTCGTGCTGAAAGCTTCACGGATGCCTCTAGAGCATTCAAGTTCTTGAATCCCCTCTAGGCCACAAATCAAAAGTAGTCCCCTCACCGCCTTTCTCAATGCTCGCACTACCACTCCTACTTTTGTGACGACTGTCATGCGAACACCCGAGGGCCCGGCCGATGCCCATGGCCCTGGGAAGCCGGGATCGGGGATGCTTGAATTTTCGGGGCTCATTGTGGGGAAACTTCCTGGAGGGGGGTCACTCAAGGCTATTTCCCCGTTTGGGGCTCCCCCTCAACTAACGCGGATGCCGTGACGGAGAACCCCGAAGTAAAGGGGGAGGTTCTCGCGAGTCTTGGTGGGTCAAGGGCTGTTTCTAGCCAGGAGCTGGTTTAGGGGGGCTTGAGGTTCCGCGAGAGACAGAATCCGAGGAGACTTGGGGTCCTTTCTGGCTTCACGGCTTTGGGGCTTCAGGATTTGCAGTTCGTAATACAAGAAAACAGCAACAACTATGATACCCAAAACATTAGTCATACTACTAAGTATTATATTCTAAAGCCCACACTAACCCAGGCAATACTCGGCAATACTGAGGACAACAACCACAATCGCATGCAGCTCCCAGAGCACCACTCCGACGAACAGCACCCCCGGCCTTTGTAACGAGGCGTCGCAACCGAGGATTCGCGCTCCCCTCAGCGCGCGGTCCCGGGGGAGGCCGGCCTCTTTTCAAAGAGAGCTTGGGCCTCGAGGGGTTGTCTACATCCCGCTCACCGCGAACGCCTGAGCCCTGTCCTTACCCTATGCACGCGAACGACTCAAAAAGCTAAAACCCTAGAAAGCAAGCCAAAAACCCTGAAACCCTGAAACCCTTCTCAGAAGAACAAAACCCCAAACAGGCGCAAACCCCAACTCGAACTGTGCCAAAGAAGGGCCGGCCTCGAGGGAGGGGGACATGCAACGCGGCAGCACGGCCCGGCTCGCGGTGCTTGCGTCGAAGGACAGCTGCCACTCTAAGGCCTGGACAGGAAAGCGTTGAAGCGAAGGCTGTTAGGCCAGGGCCTGTGGCTGGGGGCTTCAGCTTCCGGATCGCGCAGAGAAGTGTGACCATGACGATCATCACGATCGGAAAGCTCATCCTGGTCTTCACCGCCCCTTCTCTTCGAAATAGCTTAAATAGCATCAACATCAACGAATATCCGGAAAGCTCCCCACAGCAATGCTCGGTTGATGTTACTTTCTGTAGAGCCCCTTCCACACTACGCGGAGGCCCGCCTCGGAGCCTGAAAAACAAGGGGGACGGGGGGGGCCTAAAAGCTTCAGAGCTTCAAGGATGAGAGGGGAGGGGGGTATCAGGGTGGGTACGGGTGGTGGGAGTAGGACTCCTACGATTTTCTCCCAGGCCTTCTGGCTGGCGTCGGGGTCCTCCTACGGAGCAGCCGGATTCGGGGTGTGACGTAGGGAGGCTGAGAATATCAGGCTTCAAGCCTAAGGTTCACGAACTTTCAGAAGCTGCGAGTAGAAATGCCTCTCTTCCTGATCAGAGTCGCAAGTCCAAGGTGCCGTGACAGCAACGATCACGATGATCACGTTAGAATACGTACCAGTCGCTAGTGTTGTCAGGTTTTTCCAGTTGTCCCTCGGCGCGGGGGTCTTGGGTGAGACTCCGTGACAAGTGCGTCCTCATCGAAGTAGACTTCCGAGGCCGAGATGAGGGGAGGACGATCCAAATCCTCCGAGAGCCCCGGAAACCGAGAAAGCGGCGGCACACGATTGCTCGCGATGTCCAAGCCCTCAAAGCGACAAGACCAGAGTGCAGTGGTCTTCAGAGAAGGGCTGAGCTCAGGGTTCAGCGTTCACAGTCCGCACTTCACGTCGCACGAATGCATCCAGCCTGGGAGAAGTCCTGCACGCACGTCTTTCGACGCACGGCGGGCGAGCCTGGCCGTTGCTGCACAATGAAACCCGCGTGCAAGGTCCAGATTGAAGCTCTGCTCAGACTTCGGAGAAGGAAAGATCAGAGAATAGCGTAGCCTTCTTCGAGCCGCAATCACTAAAACAACTAAGATCAAACAAAACCCAAACCTGGAAAAACAAAAAGAACCGCAGGAACCTGAAAGAAACCATGGTACTCACCCCGGTCCTTGTCCGAAATACCTAAACCACTTTCAGGACAACGTACGGACCACATCTCGCCCGTTGCGAGCTTGCAAACCTCAAAAACTTCCTTCAGATCCTTCAGAACCTTCAGACATCTAAGCCTCACGAACACACCTCCAGGCATAAACCTCATGCTTTGGCTTCTTTGGAATAAGGTTTGTGATGCACGGTTTCAGATCCGGTGCTCGGCTCTAGGGCTTAGCATTTCCTGCAGCACGAGCCACAGCCCCGATAAAGCGAGCGATCCGGGGCCATCCTCGCAGCAAAATTTCTTGTCAGCTTGAGGGCTGCGAGGGAGTTGAGGCGGAGAGGTCAGGCCTGAGACTTTTGCGGTTTTGATGCGGATTGCATAAGGGCTTATGAATGACTTCTCCCTGCAATATTGTTCGCAAGCTAATCGCCCAAACACCCCCACAGCTTGCTGCTCGAATCCAATATCCCGGGATGTCATGAAACCTCATGCCTCATACCATCACCAAAACGCGCTATCCATATCGTCCAAAAAGAACACTGCCAAACCAGCTTTTTGGAGATTTGCAAAATTGTACGGTAGAGCTTTCTGAAATCCCCATGTCAACAAATCCCTTGGAAACAAACCGATCGTGATCGACTTCGTTGCCCGACGTGTTCCAAGCTTTATCCCGCCAAGCGACCGGCTCTTGGGGATTAGTCCGTCCTGCGGCACGCTCGGGTGAGGCAAAAGTAGGTCTTGCAAGAATTTTTGCAACAATCACAACACTCAACCGGAACCATCGCAATTGATAGTAGCAATACACACAATAATTCTAGTGGTATGATTCAAGAGCCCTCCTGTTTTACTAGAAACCATAGCCCACATGTCTTCAGAGCTTAGATAAGGTATGATGCAATAGTAGCAGTAATTGCAATAGCAGTAGGCTCAATTGCAATCGTCGTCCTAGTACTAGTTGCACTAGTAGTAGCAGTAGTAGTAGTAGTAGTCGTAGTCGTAGTGGTGGTGGCGGTGGTAGTAGTAGTAGTAGTACTAGTAGTAGTAATAATCATAAGCGTCTCGGCCCGAATGGTCTATCCAAGTTAGCTGGGGGTACACTGCGTCACATGTGGTCTTGCTGCTGACTGCAGAGTTACTGGAGCCTCTTTTTGGCAAAGTACGCTTTGGCCTTCTTACGGGGCCTTCGGGCCGGGGCATGCCAAGATCCATTGCGACATCATCGTCTTCGCACGAGACCTCCGACAGCTCCGGCCCCTCCACAGTTACAGCAGGGAGCCATGAAGATCGGGATGTTCCTGTTACTTTGGCAGCTGTTGAAGCAAGGGCTCGCGCTGCAGAGGAGAAACGGAGGACTGCAGAGGCCAGGGCTGCGGAAGACAGAAGACTCCTGCTGGAGACTCCAGAGTTTCGTGCGGGCTGCCCTCTTCGAGCTCTGCATGGTTTACTGGGAGCGGCAGATGCACTACAAATTCTCAGATCGGCGATCGGTCAACGCCAGAGTGGCAGCGCAACGACGGAATCTGCAAAATGAGGAGCCTGGTTGCGCCTACACCATACTGGCGCCCCAAATGGAGCAAGGTTTGTTTCAACAGCTACATGAAGATTATGGAGTTCTGGGAGGACTCGATGATCAAGGAGTCCAGGAGAACGACGTTTCCTGGATCAATGGGATTGGGAGTCCGAATGACCCACCCAGACATGTGGCGTTGCAGCATTTGGAAATGTTGGCGACGAAACACTTGCGCGACCGCTTCCACAAGGATACGCTGCGCATCCTGCTGCCGCGACTCCTGGACATGCTGCAAAACAAGCTCATGCGTTCCACCCTGCACCTGCTCTTCCCGCTTTTGGACAATGCAGGCAGGCGAGAGTTGAAACAGTGGTTTGCGGGCTATGCAATGGGAATGCAGCTTCCGCCGATGATGACGACAAAGAGAATGCGGGTGCGGCGGCTTCGAGCTCCTCAGGCAGGCCGTGACCAATGTCGCCCGACAGAATACGGCAAGCACCTGCGGCCAGGGAAGTTTCGAGCGAAGAGGGCCAAACGCGCCCGGACATCCTTTTCCAGGAGACGATCTGGCCGTCACAGCCGTTTGCTGGACAGGCACTTTTAGGCTGGTGGATTGCCTTCTACAAGCCCCCGAGCTCTATCCTGAAGCCAAGCCCCAAAACTCACAATGCTCCCGCCCGCAACAATAAAGGCCGCCTTGGTCCCAAGCCCAAGGGTGGCTCTGCACTCAGGCCTGCCATACTTCTGCTTATCAATTGTCTATGCAACATACTGCAGGTAGGAAGAGCTGTCAGGGTCACAGACGTGAGGGTAGGAGGCTCTCCCCACCTGGAACCTCCTGAAGTCGACATAATCAGCCATTGTAGACTTCCGGGTTGGACAAACCCCGACGGTGTTCAACATACTGTTCATGCCAAGACGGCCTCACAAACGTGCATTTCAACGAGCCCAGCGCCGCGCTGCTAGGCATGGTAGCACAAAGTACCGAGGCCAATGGTTCAGCGCACAGCAACTAGGAGTCACTATCCGATCTGAGGTTCTTCAAAGACAGCGGCGAACTACCGTCCACAAGTCACAGCAACAAAGACTACATTTTCTTTCTCTCCTGGAATGCTTCAGGTCTCACGATTGATAGACATGCTGAGGTTCAGCACTGGCTTGCATCGCAAGAGGCACAGCACATTGGCCTCGTTTCTATTCAAGAAACTCATTGGAGGCACGCGATGGAGTACACACCTCCGGGAGGTTCTCGGCCATTCATAGTGGCGGTGCTAAATCTGAAGCTGGGTTGTTAGCTCTGATAGATAACAAGCTCCATCCCCCCTACAGCGTTTACCACCAGGATATCATTCCTGGCCGCCTACTGCAAGTAAGACTGTCAGCCACGGAGCCATGTATAGATGTCATCGTGATTTATCAATATGCGTGGTCTGTTGCCGCTCAGGAGTACAGCAAGGAAGCATTGTTGTCGAAACGCGCAGAGGTGTGGGCAAAACTGCACACATTGTTAAATAGCCTGCCCAAGCGTAACCAAACCCTACTCTTAGGCGACTTTAATTGTAGCTTGCAGTCACATGGCAATCTGGTTGGCAGAGGCCTTCTGCATCACACCTCTGCCCACGCAAGCGACGCAGACATGCTTCAATCACCTGTCGAGCAGTTTGATCTGGTCACGCTGAACACCTCGTCCAAGAAGGGCCGGACTGCATGCACTTACGTACCAGCAGCGGCCAAGGGTCATAGTCAGATAGACTTTGTCATGGTTGATATAAATCAGTGTGATCAGGTAGCTCGTCAGACAAGGGCGGCGCAGCTTCCTTTCGTGCCCATTTAAGGCATGCGTCACCTTCCGCTACTTGGTAGTGTAAAACAGCAACGCGGCAGTAGGAGTTTCTAGGCGTACCGTAGAGGATCTTCGGCGAAAGGACCCCCACATTCTGGAACGATTCAAGCTAGCGACGGAGGTGCTGTGCCAACAACAGCAGCTGCCAACGGACAGGCTGCTGGACCTTGCCTGGAAGCACGAGAAGCTAGTCAGGTTCAACCTAGCGCATCTGCCCCGAACCTGCAAATTGATAGCAAGACACCCACGGTCACCCGACTTTGGCAGCTTCGTGCCCGTGTCCTGCGCGCGCCGCAGAGAGGCGGCCTGCGCTTCTTCACGCGCCTGGGGCTTGCACATGCCCAACTGGACAAGATCACACAGATATTGTCTGATGCTGCGGCGCAGCCGCAAAGTTTGGTAACGGTTTTCCGAGTTCTCAAAGCGCTTGCGCCGCCGGCACCGAGACGACGCTTGCAAATCCGCACCGAGCAAGGGCTTCCCTGCAGTCCCCTTGAAAGCCTCAAACACATCACGAAATACTTTCACGACGTGTATCACACTGATCACAATCCGCTCAAAGTGCTGCCGGGCGTGCAAGCTGCACCCTTGAGTACACTGGATGAGGTGGCAGCGGCCCTCAGGGGATCGCCGGCGCAGAAGGCTCTGCCGACAGCGGTAACTCCTGCCATTTTGTGGAAGGAGGCGGCGTCTATAATCTGGCGCCCAAAATCACTCAGCAAATAGATGACTGGCTGTCCCAAGTGTGGAAACCACCACCAGAATCTTGGCACATTGCAGATATCTTTTTGCTGCTTAAATGTATCTTTTTGCTGCTTAAACCAAACAAAGCCCCGTGCCCTGCCTCCCTGAGACCCATGTCATTGTTACATCCAGTAGCAAAAGCTATAGCGGTCATCTTGAAGCAACGTCTACAGCCTTCGGCGGACCGCATGCTCGCCCCGCTTCCGCAGTTTGCCTATATGCAGGCGCGCTCAGCACAAGATGCGCTGGATCGAGCCTTTACGCATTGCTGTTATGCGCAAGAAATCCTGCGCACGCAAGTTGCCACTCCACACACCAGGCATCAAAAACACACGGTCCTGCCTTGCAGAGGGGGTATGACATTGAGTGTAGACATGCGTAAGGCCTTTGATCTACTCCCCAGATAACATCTTAAAACTGCATTGGACCAGCCCAAGGCGGATCCAGCGCTAGCGCAAACCATTTTGCATCTGCACTCGCATGCGCAAATGCAATTCTCCTACGGCCCTCACAAGGCCAACATAGACACGGCACATGGCATCCGTCAGGGGTGTGGTTTGGCCTCTACACTTTGGCCCATGTTTACAGCCATAGTAATGGCCAAGCTTCTTGAAAGACTTACCCTATCGGAGATAACGGCTTTTGCGGACGATTGGATCTTCCAGCGGGTAATCAATAAGCTTGAGGACCTCGAAAGGGCAGTTGCGCTTGTGGGATTTGTGCTTGACACGTTACATGAGTTCGGCATGCAGCCCAGCCTGGACAAGACGGTAGCGCTTATCAACTTGAAAGGCAGTCAAGCCCCCAAGCACCTGAAGAAATTTGTCGGTACTCTCCCAAAGCAGGGCCGCATTACGACAATCCGCACAAACAGAGGTAAAGTAAATCTACCGGTAGTCAGCAGTCATACGTATCTAGGTTGTACCTAGAGTTATGCCCGAGTTGAACAGGCTACTCTCACGTACCGTGTACGACAGTCTTGGATCGTCTTCAACAGGCTACTGCCTGCGCTGCGCAATACAGGGCTACCATTGAAACTCAAGCTTGAAGTCTGGCACTCGTGCGCGTACGCTAGCCTCATGTACGGGCTGGATTGCATCGCTCCTACTCTTGCAGACTTACAGAAACTAAAGAAGGTGGTTGCCAGGCAGCTTAGGATAATCACCAAGTCGCCTGTTCATCTCAGC